GAAACAACTATATTTGAATGAAATTGATTTTTCAAGGATTTCGATAAATTCTTTGAATGGTATTTTACAATGTGAAAAATTAGAACAAATTACCATTTCCGCCTCTAATGGGATTTCTTGTAGTGATGTGAATAATAATCTTTCCGCTTGGGGATTGAACCAAGAGTTCAATGTTATTCCTAGTTCTAATTCGATCACGATCACTCGAAATTAATGTACAGATAATCGTGTATATATATATTCCTTTTATATCTTTTATATCTTTTATATATATTATATATATTATATATTATATGCGTACATATTTTTTGGTTTTTGGACGTTTTTATTATATACATATATTTTTGGGGGTTTTGGGTAGATTATTTGTTAAAATCCTTAAAATTGTCTTACATTGTTGTTTGAATCGCGAATTAAACACGATCAGTGCGTTTGATTTGAGAAATCATTGAAAGTATGCATATATGTAGCGTTCACCTTTCTTATTTTAAGAATTACACCTTTACATTTCTAAGGTTTAGTGGAATAAGACTAAGCGCCGAGATGCATACGTCTTTAACAATATTATTCTATATGACGTTTGACTAAGTTTGGTTATACTTCTTTTGATTTGAAGTATCATCTTTGGAAAAGACTCGTATTACTGAATGATGCATCATTATGTTACACATTCCCTGAATGTTTTTTTTTTTTTTTCCTACCGATACTTACAGACTTATGCATCAGACATATGCATTTATATGTAAAATAAAAAAATTTTTTTTGATCAAGACAGTTCTTATTTAAGATAATATTATTTTAAATTTTAATTGTTGTCCCAATTCCCATCTATTTTGCTATTTTGATAATTTTGCCTTTCTTTTATTTTCCATATTATTCTCTTTTTTTTGAAAACTTTTTCATTGTTTTTTTTATAAAAGAAGGTAAATATACGCTTACGATATGCAATTGCATTTTCCCACGATGATTCTCCTCTAACAGCAACTTTTTCGCTAGTTGCGAAAAACAATGTCTGTGAAATTTTTTCTAAAAATTATACCGAGAAAGATGAAATTTAAGTTTTTTGTATTGTTGGTGACTGCCCTTATAATTGTATTAATCCTTGCCTTACCAACTAATGCAAAGTTTGATAATAATTTACAGAGTAAGATTCTTTATAAATTTTTTTTCATTCATTTTTTTTACTTTTTATTATATATATTTTTTTTCTTTCTTTCACTTTCGTTAATTGTAAAAAAAATTTAGTGAACTTGGTGATCAAGCCACATCAAGATCCTCACTATCAATATAGTTATCCTCGTGATTTTTCTCGATTATACCGTCGAGCCGCAGAAAACTCTGAAATTGTATTCTCTGAAATTGTATTTACTCGTTCAAATATTTACGAAATTTATAATATTCGTGACCCATCGCTTCGAGGTGAATAATCTATTCCTTATGGTCATTATCAAGTACCTTCCAATATCTATCAAGATCTACTAGTTTCATTTCTTTATAATGCTTTATTATGACTCGGTATTTCTGTAAATATTAGCGGTATAGATGTCAACTTGGCAAGCTTTAAATCCGACTATTGTTCTGTTCACTTTATTGATTTTGTTTAAATAGCCAAATAACCAAATAACCAAATAGCCAAACATTATTTGTATTATATAAAATAAATACTACTATTATATAATAGTTTATATACATTGTATCAACTTTTCGAAGTTTCTATGCCGCGTGATGTAACAACTATGCTATGTATGTGCGTTAAAATACCTCATTTATACGCATTTATACGCATTTATACGCATTTATACGCATTTATAAGCATCTATACGCATACATACGCATTTATGCACATTTATATGCATTTAAATGAACCAAAAAAATACCAATTAATATTTAACACGAAGCTTTTTCGAGAAATCAGGTTCTCTTTTAATTATTGGTGAATAGAATAAAAAAGTTCATATTAGCTCCAAAAATGTTATCTACGATTCATATTGTACTAACTCTTATTATGTTTTTTTTTCTCTTTTTTTTTTTACTTTTTTATTTGTGCCAATTATTTCAATGATTTCGTTATGATGTTATGTACATTTACCGCGTCAATGTTAATACGTACGTATTCGTCATTTTTATAGGGATGGCAAAAAAACGTTTTTTAATGATTTTTAATGATTTTTGAATTGTTTTAAATCATGTTTTAAAACATT